GGTTTCTTTTTTCAGTTCTGCAGTAAGCATTTTTTGTACTTAATCTATCTTGTAAGTGTACTTACATCTTTTGTTACTTTTAATTTTGAAGTTACAATTTTTTTACACAAAATAGGATGTACAGCTATCCAGCACGTGTGCCGCCACCGCCTCCTATTGCTCGGGCTGTGGTGCCCTCTAAACGTCAGCGTGTATCAGGAAACACCTCACGCAGGGGCAAAAGTGGCTTCAATTCTAAGAGTGGACAGCGAGGATCTTCTTCCAAGTCTGGAAAGTGTATGTTTTATTTCTACTTTGTGCTTCTGCTGTTTCTTGACCTAGGGTAGTTAATAGAGGTTCAATGTTCAATTTTTTTTCTCGTGTCTGATAAAGGTCCTCATTTTTTCCCTAAATACTAAGAATTTGAAAATTTGTCATCAGACATGCAGGCCTTGGGCTTATTTTTATATTATATATTTCCTTGTGTAGTATAAGAACAAAATTTAAATGGGATTTACTTCACATGAGGAATTATTTCCTGCTTACTGTATAGATTTTGCCAATGTAAAGAAAATGTGTTTGTGAAACAAGGCATTTAAATATAGAATTGAAATCTTCTGTAATCTCTTAAGTTACAATGCAACTACTCAAAGGAGATTCAAATTTTAGTTGTCATGTAGCAGATCAAAGGCCGGTGTTACTCCTTTGAGGTTGTACTGGGAATATATTTTGTAGCAGGTATATACTCGTACTCATGATTCTAATGTAAAATTTCTTTATAATAAAGTGAAAGGCGATGATCTTCAAGCCATTAAGAAGGAACTGACCCAGATTAAACAAAAAGTGGATTCTTTGCTGGACAGCCTGGAAAAAATTGAAAAGGAGCAGAGCAAACAAGCAGGTAAAATCTTTGTGCTTAGTAGGTATAAAATTGGGTTAGTGCTGAAAGGTGGTGGATGTGTATGAAACTTGGAGCTGGGCACTGCTGACTCTTGCCTATAATCCTCACTACTGAGAACCAAGTCTGTGATCTGAGGATTGCAGTTTGAAGTCATCCCAGATAGGAAAGTGAGAGGGGGGGGGAGGGGAGAGGAGTGTGTGTGTGTGTGTGTAAGTGAGTGTCTTGTTCTGATTTCACACTGTAGAGCAAAGCATAAATTTATACCTACCTACATAAAAAGTTATTCTTTTTATGTAATTGGAGTCTGACCATTGAAGAAAAATTACAACTTTTCATACACAGAGTTCTAAGCAAGGGCTTGACTGACAACAGTCATTGAGACACTTCCTACTAGTTCTCCATCCTCTGAACACTATCAAGATGGAATATAGCACTGCCTCTCCCCTTACCTCCCACTCCCCACAAGTCCTGAGGGTTGAACTCAGCGTTTTCTGTTTAGTTGACTGGCACTTGACTATTTGAATCACTTTCAGTCCTGTTTTTACTAATCACTTGGAGGCTCAATTTTAACAGACTTTTCTAATTGACCTGGTCAAGATCGCATGGATGGATTTTCGACTTTTGAGTAGCTAGGATTACAGATGTAAGCCATCTGCCTCCTGCTAGATTATATTGTAATGAGGGAGGTTGGGAGGTTTGTAAAGAACACAGGAGAACAGGGCTTGCAGATGCAGATTCCAGCAACTGGTGTGAGGTGTAGTCTATTAGGTGAGGCTGACCTCATCGCAGCCTTGCCATTTGCCCCCAAGGTCAGTAATGTTTTTGTGCTATGCGAGAATTGATTCCTTTAAATGAGCAAGCTACACTAATTTCTCATGATTCTAAATGAGATGTCCCAAGGCATTGTTAGAAAGCTCACACTGGGGTTTAATGATAAAACTGTTGTACATAAACACATAAGAATCAAAAACTGTCCACTATTCCATGCTTATCCCATGATATATTTGTACCTATATAAAAAATTTTGGTCTCAAAAATCTATGAAGAAAATCAGTATCAGGGTTTCAATGGGATTGATATATTGTTTTAAAGCTGCAATTTCTATTTTTCCTGAAATAATAATAATGCCAGATGAAATTATGTCTGTGTCTCAGAGATCCATGCTAAATTAACCAGCAGCCTTGCTCAGAGGAAGGGTGCCATGATGCTGTGTGAATTCTTTTGTAAACATGAGTTGAACAGAAACTCAGTTTTTTAAAACACAGCCACCCATCAAAGATTTGTAGAAATGACCTGTCAGGAGAGACTTCCCCAGGCCAAAAGGCTATAGAATCATGAACTACAAAATTCCAGCTGCAGTGTGTCTTGTGGTAGGAGATCATGATGGACCTAAAGAGGAAAATGTGTACAACTTTTTTTAAGTATACATAAGATTTTGTTTGCTAACCATGGTTCTTGAACATAGGGCCTGGGCATGTCTCTGAGCCTCTTTGTGCTCAAGGCTAGTGTTCTAGCAACTGAGTTCCAACAATACTTCCAGTTTTTTCTGAGTAGTTTATTGGAGATAAGAGTTTCATGAACTTTTTTGTCTTGGCTGGCTTCAAACTGCAGTCCTCAGATTTCAGACCCCTGAGTAGCTAGGATTACAGGCATGAACTAGCTGGTTCCTGGTTTTTATATATAACTTTTTAAACTTACAATTAAAGCCCATAAACATTAAAAGATGTGTAATGCAGCATACTCAATTAGTATTTATTCCCACTGGATCATCTGTGAACTGAGTTAAAGATTTGCCACAAAGTTAGTTTTTGAAGACAGAATTCCTTCTGAGAAGACACTTGAGAAGGTCAGATATTAAGTCAGACCATCATAGAAGGGAGTAGCAATTGTCTAGGAAATCCAGGCAACAAGATCTGAATTAGGTAGTGTGCTGCCTTGCTCAGCATACTCAGCTTTATTATCTGAAAGAGGAAGGATTGAGTGGGAAGAGGTCACGTTCCTGGGGCAGTTTATGGGTTTGTTTTGCTCTCTCTCCAAATTCTCTAATATAGGACTGCTGAGTAATAGCCTCTTCCTTTGAAAACTTCCCACATTATCTCACTGTATCAGGAGTGGATACCTCACTTCTGTGCAGAGGAGCTTGCTTTTGGGTCCTCAGACTCATGCAGACACCAAAAG